CCTTGAAGTGCATAATATCGTTTCACTCTCACTGCTTAGAAGAGACGTGAATCTCTTGGAAAGAGTCCAAAGACGAGCGACAAAAGGAGTGGTTGGTCTCCGAAATAAACCGTATGATGAAAGGCTGAAGAAATTAGGCCTATTCACACTTACCTACCATTGGCTTAGTGGGGATTTGATTACTGCCCACAAGATAACAAATGACGAGAATCACCCAAACAAAGGTGTCCTGCCATTGTGTAGGTGTAGGCTTCCTCGTGGAAATCCCAGAAGGATAGTTCATCAGAGGGCAAGGACCCGTGTGCGCTCCCAATTCTTTCCACTGTGGGCTTGCCGTTCCTGCGATTCCCTCCCGGCAGATGAAGCTATGGCCCCGTCTGTGGACGCCTTTAAGCGAATGCTGGACAACCATGCAGCGACACAAGGACTTCATCCAAATGGCCTATCGCCTTAAAATCGCATACACCATTCAAAGGTATATATATTTATTCCTGTTTATGCAGGAACAATTAAACTTGTCGATTTACTTCTTTACATTCTCTCCCGTCTTAGCTTCTGACATCTTTAACTACACCTATTATTATTATTATTATCGTTATATCCAATATATGTAGATTATTCATAGTATTCTTCAAATTTAATAAGTTGTCCGTTTTACGATTGCCCTATTTCTTTTTCTGTCTGTTAGTCTGAATAACCTGCACTAATTACATCTATTATTACTATTATGTCTTTTCTTTTGATGACGATGCCGGAGGACCGGCTGGTGAAATGATCAACTTCATCCACAGTAGTGACAGTCTAAACACACCTCATACTACAAACCACAAACAGTTAATTTCAGCACTACTGATTTTTGAGTCAACCAAAGCTACGACAGTCGATTGACGAGAGTAGGTATGAAGAAGTTTACCGAAGATCAGGAGCGTTTACCTAGCAATCAAGAAGCAAACGGAAAGAAATCGAATTAGTTTATACATACACCGTAGTCACCAAGGCTTCAGCCAAATTAGTCAAACAGGTGAAGGTAATGGACTCTCGCATGCCGGTCTTCAAGACCAGGGCAAATATCCCCTTCGCGGACAGATTCCTCATGTCGCCACAGTCCTACAGTGAAACTGTGGAAAGTCAAACACGCGGATGTGGCTCCATCCCTGTTAACACGACCAGGTTAATAAATCCGAGTGGTAAATCTGCACCAAGGGAGAATAGTATAACACCCATCTCCACAGTAGTCCCTGTAACAAAAAGGAAGGCCAATAAGAAACGTTCACGACGTCGCAAGACGACAAAAGCGTCCTCCAAAAAGGCAGACGATTGCAAGGTCTGCGATTCTGTTGTCGAACAGGTAGACTCTGCCTTCGAATGCAACTTTTGCAAGCAATGGGTACTTTGTAGATGCGACACCGCGGTACCAAAAGTATATTACGATTTTATGCGTAAGAACCCATGCCCATGGTTCTGGTACATATGCCCAAGGTGCCGCCCTGATGCGGCCTCCTGCAATTCCTTGAAAGCCAAAGATGGCGTAGAGGTATCAGGGAAAAACGTGAAACGTTCTACTCCCACCAACTCAGAAAACAGCACAATTGCATGTAAATCGGGGATTCCAAAATCCTTACCGGTTAAACTTGCAATTCCTGCCATAACTGCCCCAGACATAGAGGCTGAAGCACCAAGGGTATCTGTCGCTGGAAAAAGACCCTTGTCGTCTACCAGTAATAGTGGCCACGACACTGCGACACACAACAATATCCAGACGAAACAAAACGGTCTTAAAGGGGATGACAAATGTGCGAGGACCGAGACTAAATCCACGGTTATCAGATCAAACTGCGTAATCTCTTTAATGTACCAGACTGTAGCAGTAGTCTGCTGTCAAGTAACACTCCACGTCTGTTAGCTGTCAAGTTCAGCTCCCGAGACCACTTGACTACTGCTCCCCAGAGATGGTACGACACCAAGGACAAGGTCAGCAGACACTTCGCTGCTGCGAGAGCCGGCCTCGTATCGAGAGGAGAGAACAGAGCGTGGTCAAAGAAAATCCGCACGGACGATGATAGCCAGTGTCATCCAAGTGCTCCGAGTGAACTAGAAGAAAAAAACGCCAACAGGCCGGTTCCCGGGGAATCGGCCAACTAGTTCGTAGGATAACTCCTCAACCGACAGCCCACATCAAGTCAACCAACCTCCAATACGGGGACGTGGTGAGACTGACTACCAGTTGCCTGTACAGTAATGTGAGAGGGCTAAGAGGCGAAATAGCTGAACTTAGGTACCTACAATCACAGCTGAATTCCAAAATCACAATACTGACGGAAACCTGGCTAATCCCTACGGTGGCAGACAGCAAAGTCAGTATAAATGGTATGGTCCTAGTCAGTCGAGATAGGGACCTGAAAGAAGGAGGTGGAGTCGCCATACACGTCGACAAACAGCTCAGATGTGTTCACGTAATGGACCTTCCCCTCATTGAGCTTCCTGACTCCATATGGTGCCATTTCACCGTTGAGTACTGTAAATATCTAGTGGGAAGCATTTATCGATCACCTTCGTGTGGAGCAGACCACAACCAGGTACTGCTGAATACAATTTCAGTGACACAAGACATGGGTTATGATCAAATTGTCATAGCTGGCGACTTCAATGCCCCATCTCTTAACTTGATGACGGGATATGCTCATGATAGATTTGATCGAAATCTGCTGCATACCATCAGGGAGGCTGGATTCACTGAAAATGTCAGAATGGATACTAGATGGGGCCCAGATGGGAAGTCTTCTAGACTGGATTACGTGCTCACTAGTGACCAGCTACTAGTGGAAAACGTTCAGATCACGACTCCCATAGGTAGTAGTGACCACGCGGTCATAGTATTCGACATAGACCTCCGCGAGCGTTTACAGTGGGATAATACACAGCCCTATCTGTGCTATAACAAAGCCAATTACACCGAAATGCGAAGACTTTTGCCCGAAGCAAATTTGCCAAAAAATTGAACAGAGCTTACAGTAGAACACTGGGGGGTGGTAGAGGAGATCATTCACCAGGCGGTCTCAGACACTGTTCCTTTAGTCACACCTAAAGCTAGAAAGTAACGTTCATGGCTAAAATGGGGGGAGACAACGCCTTCTGCAGGCGAAGCGAAAAGCCTGGTCTGCGTGGTGACTATCGAAGAGTCAACCCGAACATGAAGTGTACTCCGAACTCAGGAATCGATGTAACATACGAGTCCGGAGTGATAGAAGGACACTTCAGAGAAACCTCGCCAATAAGCTTCTCGTGAACCCCAAAAGCCTATACAGGTTTATGTCTGAAAGAAAACTGACCAACCAGGGAGCTTGCAATATAGTGGGTTCTGAGGGGAAATCTCTTACTAGTCTTGAAATGGCAGAGACATTCAGTCTAGCCTTTCACAGGCAACTGAACAGTAATGAGGATTTTACCCCCACAAAACATCAAGATTACAATGCAAGACCAACGTGCGAAAACCTGCTGGGTACATTTCAAATTACCCTGGCTATGGTACTCGTAAAATTGGGAAAGTTGGCTTCGGTAAAGTCTGCAGGTTGCGATGACATAAGACCATCCGTCCTGAAGCAGTGTTCAGAAAGTCTCTGCCGACCCCTAAGTGATCTGTTTCAACACTCCTTTGATGTAGGGAAACTTCCGTGTGAATGGAAACGAGCCATCCTATCCCCTATCTTCAAGGGTGGTGACCGGCAGAACGCCACCAATTACAGACCAGTTGCGCTACTCCCAGTGATATCGAAGATATTGGAAAGTCTCATTGACGACCACATGAGAAAATACTTCGACGGGACTAACCTACTCCATGAAGCACAGCACGGTTTCAGGAGGGGAAGATCCTGTGTGACGAATCTTCTACTAGCTTGGAACGATTGGACACTATCCCGGGACGTAAAGGTACCAGTCCATGTGATCTTTCTCGACTTTACGAAAGCATTCGACACGGTTCACCATGGTATGCTCCTTCACAAAATAACCAAGGTGGGTGTTTCTGGAGCACTTCTCGCATGGCTGAAAGATTACTTACGCGAGAGAGAATTCTGCACCAAAGTCAACCGCATCCGATCATCCTGGCACACCTCAGCATCAGGGGTTACTCAGGGTTCTATCTTGGGGCCGTTGATGTTTTTGATTTTTATCAACGACCTGTCCTGTCAACTGATTTGCTCTGCGCTTCTTTACGCTGACGATGTAAAGATTTGAGAGCAATAAACTCATCGGAAGACTCAGACAGATTGCAAGCTGATCTGCAAACTCTGGGAGACTAGGCTCTGGCTAACGGAATGCCTTTCAACCTAAAGAAGTACAAAGTAGTGCAACTTCATTCCGCCAGGTCACAGAGTGCAAATTACACCCTTGGTGGCCAGAACTTGAGTTGTGTGCCATCAGAATGCGACCTAGGTCTTATTTGAGCAGAAAAGCTAGACACCAGTGTAAATTACATGAGGGACGTCGCCAAAGCTCACGCAACTTTACACTTTATGCATAGGCAGCTGGGAGCTCTTACTCCCAAACTATTCCTAAGGTTGTATACGACATACGTGAGGCCACTCCTTGAGGTGCACAATATCATTGCTCCTCCGCTACTCAGAAGGGATGCTAACATTCTAGAAAGTGTCCAGAGACGAGCGACAAAATGGGTGATCGGCCTCCGCAACAAATCATATAAGGAAAGACTGAAGAAATTAAGTCTTTTCACACTTAGTTACCGTAGTCACAGGGGAGACCTCATCCACGTCAATAAGATCTTAAATGACCAGGCCCACCCTAATAAAAGCATCCTGCCATTAAGTGATTATAGGCTTCCACGATGTAACCCGCTAAGGATAGCACACCAGAGACCAAAGACTCGAGTGCGTTCACATTTCTTTTCGCTTCGAGTTTGCCGTCTCTGGAACGCTTTACTGGCGGCCGTGACTACAGCGCCATCTATGGAGACTTTTAAGCGGAAACTGGACAATCATGCAGAAATGCAGGTTTGTGTCTCAATGGCTTATCCTCTTAAAGTTTGAAACCACACTGTCAATGGATAAGCATACAAGCTAAATCCCCACGACCCGTCCTGTCTTCTCTCACTTTACCGACTACTCTATCTTTTCTTTGGTCACCTTTATTATTTCATCTTTATATTTCACTTATCTCAAGCTATATTATCTACACTATAACCTATTATTATTACTATTCTGCCTTTATGACTACACCGAATGACCAACGGGTGTTAGGTCAAACTCCATTCACGGCAGCAACTCAGTCCTAACATACTGCACACTACAAACCACAATCCTGACCAATCCTCGCACCACTCCTTTTGGAGTCTACCAGAGCTAAAGCAGTCGAGTGGCGGGATTTACTACGCATAAGTTCGCCGAAGATCTGGAACCTCTACCTTACAATCAAGAAGGGAGCTCGAAGAAATCACTGGTTTATACTAGCTCGTAATCAGGATATTGGATATTAGCTCTAAAATACCATATTGGAAATTGGCCTTTTATCAAGTGTAACAACATAAAAGTGTGTAATACAACAAATAATCAGTCGATTTTTCCAAAAGATGTAGTGTGTAGGCATCACATAATCCAATGACATACGATCATCTCCAGGATGCTGTTGGTCCACGCTTTGTTTTAATGCTCCAAAAGTAACAAAGATGAGACTCCACTGCCAATATACCTCCATCCAACTTGATTCTTCGCTGTCGCTTAGTACACGTTTTCGCAAATAAGGCTTAGCGGATTATACAAACCGTTACCCAACCACCAAGAAGCGAGCTCAGAAAAATCAATTTGGATAATACTATTTCGTAGAAAGACAACCTCACAAAACAGAACATGTAAGTTCTGCATGCCTTCTCTGCTACGGTTACGGTATCAGTTACTAATCCCTTTGCTAACGTTGATTCATTGTTCATAACTGTTTTCACAGTTTGCTGCTGATTTAAAGTTTTGTTTTTATTACATTGGGGGGGGGGGAATATTTTCTTGCCTTCATAGTAATCAGCTGCTGACCATCTGAATGCAGCTTCACTTAGATTCAGATTTATTGGTTGAGGATAGAAGGCTTGGAGCCTATGTTAATCCTTTTCTAGTAAATTTCTGTGGTTGTCCAAACCCTTCTTGAACGAATCAACTGAGGTTGGAGACACCACTTCTTCTGGGAGTCGGTTCCAAGAGTTTATGACTCGGTGTGAGAACCAGTACTCAACAGCAATATGATTTCTTCTTTGCTTTTGAACTCTCCTGCTATGTCCTCTTAGGTGTTCCGACCTGGTGGGAAAGAAAAGAGAAAATAAGTCAGGTCCGTAGTCATCATTTAAAATTTTAAACATTGTGATTAAATCTCCTCTCTGCCTACGGTATGACAAGGAGGAGAGATTTAAACTGTCTAGTCTTTCCTCGTATGATAAGTTAGTCATGCCATGAATCATACGTGTTGCTTTCCTTTGAACCCTTTCTAGAATAAGTGAGTCCCCTTTTAGACAAGGGCTGGCGGCCTGGATGCAGTTTTCTAGTCTTGACCTTACCAGAGATGTATATAAGGAGGTGCATCTAATGGGCTTCAGATAGCTCTCTCAGGTTGACTTATTTCTTCTCTAGGCACAACTGATATATGCCACGAGCTATTTCACAACTGTCAATAGCCCATGCACCTATATGTACACACAGTTTGTCTGATCGTCTTCTGTTTTCATCCCTCTTTTCAACATTCGTTACGTTTGCTGAAAACCTCACATTGTCTTCGTCTTCCAGCTGCATAAATCACACTACCAATTTGAGTTCGTAAAGTAACGTAGGTTGTCTCTTTGTATCGATCGAAACTAAATGCGAAACATCTGAATAATGTAACCGTGTCAGATTGACCAATAAAAAGGCAGAAAATTCAGTATACCAGGCCCCGGTTGTATTTTATGGTAGTAAGATGCATGCGAAATTCAAGTGCAATGATTCACTTAACCTCAATTGGTTGGAGTCTGAAGCCTGTACACTATGCACTCGCACGATACGTGGGCTGACAGTCAAGTCAAGCTTTAGGTTCCAATGCAGATGTATTTCTTCACTAGATGATAATAAATGTTTCGATGAGTAGCGTTTGGTTAAATGATGGTAGAAGGATAGTAGCACTTGCAGATGCCTTGTCAGTCTATACTTATGCAACCACTGGTTGCACGTCGAAACATGCTGAAACGATTCCCATCGAAAACTGTTCGGTCTGCTACAAACCTATGCCGCCTTCAGTTATTCCAGGAAGAACTGTCGGTCATTCTAGAGGATGTGCTAATTCTCTCATGCTTTTATCTGTATCAAAACACACGTGAAAGGCGTGACAACGGTATTCTTTCTGAAGAAGCCTGGAAATATGCAGTATGTGGTTGTGAATTCATACTCTTCTACAGTAGTACACAAGTTTGGTTCTTTCATCACTAGTCCGTTGTAGAAGCGTTAAGGGAGTAATGTTGCTCTTCCAAAACGCCTGGAAAAGAACAACTATATTTCAGGATATAAGAACCACTCTTCAACACCATCTAATTGTAAAGACACATGAGAGCATTCATAATAGCTATATGCACTGATACACAACGAAGTGATTGTAATTTCACAGTTTTCATGTATGTACTTTGTCTTTTGTACACACAAAAGTTATGTATCCATTTTCGTTTCCAGGAGCTCAGGCGGGGGAAAAAAGTCTCGTAAAGGTCGCAAACGTCAGCAAAACAGTGGGTAAGTGTAATTCTCAGTGCACAGACCGTGAGTTTATCAGCCTGTAGATTTATATATATTCAATTTAAATTCAATACAGCAACCCAAAATCTGCAATTACCTTTAGATTTGTTGACATTGATCTATTACTGTATCTCAAAGGATGTCTTCACTGTTGGAATTTCCGTTAAATATTTCACTTTTGGTCTGAATCAAAAACTTCTTCACTAAAGTTCACAATCCCACGGTTTCTTAGGTGTACGGAGGTTCTTGTGAGAATGAGAAGCAGTATTATGGCGAAATACTTAGTGCCATTTGTCATTCGAAATACCTAGGGAAGTATATAATGCTAACTACCACGTCTTCGTCACACAGAAATCAGAAAGTCATCTCAACTAAAAGATACGTGGAATCGGAAATCGAATGTCAAGTTGTATCTCACTGAGAAAATCAACACCGGAAGCATGCATAACTACCCTGGAATTCTACCCACCAATCTCCTAATCGTAGATACATATGAACTTCTTCATGGTAGGCTGGCTTATAGTGATCTGCACTGTTGATATTCCCATAACCACCACTCATCGTGGCATTAGTTGATTCTGAGTCAAAGAACTCACACAAACCTCCAATAGTCACTCCTCTGACGCATAACACTAATATCTCGAAATATACAACTAGTGTTTGATTGCCAGTCCTGTACATCGTTTAGGTTTCAGTATGAGAATTGAGAATAGTCTATCTGATATCTAGCGAATGGCCCAGAGTTACTCAATGCGTTCGGATAGTAACGAAGAATACAACCGTCCATAATGGTGATACGAGAGATCATTTAAGACTAAGGAATATATAAGGAGAATGCCTGAAGTTACTGAATGATGTACATACTTGATATGAACTTGAATTGAGTTCAGCTATTGTAATTGGGTGTAAGTGAATGATGGTGTCTATTGGGCTAATGTATGCTGGAGTTTCATTTCCAGCAGAGGAGACTATTATGAGTTCCTGTGGTGTGTGATACCACCCTAGTGTTCTGGTTTAATTATTAGTGGGTTTACAGATGAAGATATTCAGTTTATTGTTACTTGGACTGTTGGTGTTACAGACTTAATAGCACGTGTCAGACATTGAATACGAAGAGGATGAGAAGTGATCGTGTTACAAGAGATGATAATCTGTACAGCAATGTTGTTGTTATTTATCCTAGTTTTGGTGAATGGTGAAGTTGATGAGTGAAACAGTAATTTAGTATGCACCCGTTTATAAATCACTGACTGTGTTGCCTACCATTCTGAGATTGTATTAATTTCCTTCATGTTGATTGGCTGTTCCATATGATTAGTGATCTAGTCCTTGATGTGTTCTGATTGTGAACGATGGTCGTTGGTATTTTATCAAGGAGTAAGTATAGTTGTATTTTGATGTTTGGTTGTTTGTGTCTGTTGAATGTAAATGAATTTAGTTGTGTTACGTTTAGTGTTTTGCTGTTTGATGAGAATATAAATTATATTTCTTCATGAATTCATTATCATAATATTCACTTTCTCCTCCATTCTAATATCAGTCCATCTGCTGTTCAAGAGGGCATGGACCGTGGTGACCACTCGTCAAATGCCACACATGAAGGGTAAGATGAAGTAAATTTTTACATGAATAATTGACTGTACAGATATGTGGTGTTGTTTCATTTGTCCTTATTCGTGTAGTTGTCACATGTATGTCGCTTGATTTGAGTCATTAAATGGGCATGGGTTTTTTGTAGGAGCAGAATTTCGGCATTGTGTTAGGGCATTATTTCATATTAGATAAGTTTATTTGATGAAACACATTGATAAAGTATTCACAACTAAGTGACTCTTTGAGTGCAGCTTGTTGTCACCCATAACCATACAAATGTATTTACGTGATGTCCTGACTTGCTTTACATAGCTTTAATCCCTCTTGTTTTTTAAGCATATTTAAGATAGATGTTGCGTCACTGCTACTCCATGTGTTTGGTTTATATTCAGTGAACAAGAATTGGGTATTTAACGTTGATCCGGTGGCATATATACTACGATTGGAATGCTACAGATAAATCAACTTTATAATACTTTCACCGTATCCGACCCTCATGTGATTATATGCAGGTTTATGCATTGCATTAATCAATTATTTAATTTAGCGTGGTCAACCATTCCAGATGTACTAACATTCTTGTAGTCTGACAACCCATTAAGGCCGATCTACTTGTTGACCTATGTAATTGACCACATAATCATTACATGGTATTTAGAAAATTATATCATACCTAATTGGGTCCATCGGGTTATTAAGACTAAGAAGTTCACCTCTGAGTGAGTTGATTGGTTTGAATGCCATCCTAATCTCAGTCTTATCAAGAACCCTACGTAGTTGAAGCCTTTTAGTTTACTTCATTTTGTTCTCCTAATGTGACAAGAATCATGATCAGACATATCATCACACGGCTGAAAATTTAACTTCATTTGTATTTCAATGTGATTCAAGTTTAGTAAACATGCCGTTTTTGCAGTTAGGATATACTTCACCTCTCGATAAATCGTGTTCTGATAAAGTCAATTAGCCTTGTAGTGAAACATTCATCATACAACATCAGATATTGGAGAGAATAACAGATATTCGTCACTTTCATATGTGCCTGATAAATTTTAAAGCCTGTTCAATCTGTATGGTTTTTGCTTGTTTATTATGTCCGGATAGTTATTGTCCGAAATTATGTGAAGCGGTGTGTATGTGTGAACATGTGAAACTCTGGAACCAATAATTGTGGTTGTATACAATGTTTCGAAAGAATCTGCACTTCTCAACTGTCCTCACCGTAATGATTTCATGGTTATTTTCTATGCTTTCTCTGTTTCTCAGACTGTTATTGCTTTGTTTGTTAGGTCCTCCTTGTCTACATCAGTGTCTCCGGGTCCGTCTAGTGGTTTGGATGTTCCACCTTCTTCGAAGGAACCAATAGTTCCTTCAGAAGCCGCACGGCAGAAGAAAAGTCATCCGAAATTGGTGTCAACGTAAGTTGTCTAAACGACAGTTTTCATAGACCCATAAATCTCATGTTTCACAATGTCTACTGTATATATTTATTTTGTCTTTTAGGTCTCCACTTTCGGAAGAAGTTTCCAGGTAAGCTTTCGACTCTTATGTGTGTGCATTACATCAATATGTAACTACCCTCTTATTCATTTGATCACTGAAGTCTTTGTTTATTTATTTTTTTTTCAGGCTGAGTTTGACTAATGTGTCTATTCCCAGCAGACCAGACAAAGGCGGTAAGGTGGGGAAACCGACAACTGTCATTGTGAACTGTTGGGATTTCTCTGTCCAACCGAAGGTTCTATACATGTACCGTGCAGAGGTTAACAAAGTGTCTCGCATCAATGATAAAGATGCAGTAAAGTGTGAAATACGAATGTCTCCGAAAGATAAACGTGATTTAATTTCACGCATTACTGAGAAGTTAGTAGTAGTAGTATTATTTAGATGTGCAACGGTGTCATTTTTCACGTTAATTACATTTTCTTAATATTCATTTCTTAATATTGTGTGTGTGTGTGTTTCATAGTTAGGAGAGATGTTAACTTTGATATTGTGCATGAGATTGCATTATTACTCTCAAATAGTAAGTTAGTACTCTGTTAACCAAGTTTACTAGTTGACTGCTCAAAATGCAGGTAGTACGCATCATTGTTGTGTTTATAATTGACTGGTTGAATATGTATATGTATATATATATAGTTTAAATATCCCCCCATAATGATAATTGTGGAGCACGATTTAAGCAAATACTAATAGTAGTGGTGGTGGTGGTAGAGTGGGAAATAACTACTGTCACAGCGATTAGATGATATAATAATAATAAATTGTGAAACTGAGAATGAAATATACAACTACAGCACAACAGGATATTGATAATACCAGTTAGCATTACAAGTAAAGTAAAATAAAAAAAATATGATAAGGTAATATTTACAGTTATCCGGTGCCACCGGAAGAGATAACTATTTTAGGTTGGAGACGAAGGTCAAGGGAGGGAGAGAGATTGCACAAACTTTTCGTGAATACAGATATCGGGGTGAAAAATCTTTGTGGCGACTGCCTCAAGTGTGCTTAGCAACCGAAGAAGTACCAAGGTGGCATTTTGTATCGAATTGTAAAAGCTGAATTTTGTCAATCTTATTCTCCGTATCCACAAGGTGTGCCAGTATGGAACTTCTGACTGACTTTACGACTCCGCTACCGAACCATGTTGGACAGTGCTCCAGAAGGCGACGATGGACTTACCGAGTTGTTCTACCTATGTAACTGTCTCCACATGAACAGTTAAATTTACAAATGCTCATTGAAGTGGCCAGACTCAGTAGCTGATCCCTCGCCTGATTTGGAATTATATAACGAGTGGCAAATTTTAAACACAGTGTTGCGGCAAAGAATGTTTAAGCTATTATTTTTCTAAGTTTCGATGCCAGTAATTCGGTTGCTGCGTATCCCTTGAACGGTAAAGTATATATATATACATTTCTTCTGCATCATTTGCAGGCATTTCTTTCTGTCTGTTCTCCTCATCGAGACTTTAACAAATTTTTCGGGGTTTGCGTTCTCGTATAAAATGTTCTCTATTTTCCTTATTTCATTGTCTAGAATTTCGGCTGTGCAGATTTTTCTAGCACGGTACTGATAAGTTTTCGTTTGTATGCAAGAAGAACAAACGACTGTAAATGGGTGTATTGGCCAAGCCACGAGTTCTTCCGGAAAATACCCCTGTTAATAATGCTATTTTTCCTTCTTGTTAGCAGGACATCGAGGAATGATAGAGTGTTGTCTTTCTCCTTTTCATATGTGAACTCAATTTGTGAGTGAGCCATACTGAACTGAACGCTTGGAGAAGGACCTCGGCATTGATTTAATTATTATGCAGGGTAAAAGTGTCGTCCATATATCTACAGTAGAATGAGAGTTCGTTGAGTGGATGATTCTCTCATTTTGCCATACACATGTCGGCTTAAATCGTGTTAAAGACTTGTGCCTGCCTGGCAATTCAAAGACCAGTGGTTAGAATCCTACCGCGATTAGAGTTCTGATTTCATCTGTAATCACCACCTGTTACATCAGTGACAGTTTTTCAACTCAGGGTTATCGCAGATAATCCGATTATTGACTCATGTAAAACAATGTTTTACTTGATTCTTCATTTGATATAGATGAGGATACTTCACAGCCTCGTCGATTGATTTCCACTCCTTACCTGTTAAGTGGTGTAGTAGGGTGAAGTTACACCGGTTGAGATGGTTAGGACATGTGTTGTGCATGCCTAGCCATCGCCTTCCTCGACAGTGGGCAGTGTTAGCTGACATAGGATCAGGTTGGAAAAAAGTCAGTGGTGGTCAAACCAAAACATGGCTTCATCAGTCAATGAAATCCACAATGGTTAGTTTAAGCCAAACAGCCAGTCACGTAGGGAGGTGTAGACTTCCTGATTTGTTAGTGTCCTCGCGACGGTAGAAATGGATAGCTGGAGACAATTGGTGATACGGCTGAAAATCGTTCTCAATGGGTGGGGCAGATACATTCATTCCTTGTGACTTATAATATCCAATAAAGCCAAATTATTTTTCCATATTGCTATTCGTTTTTACCTCATATTTCTGTTTATTATCTTCTCTTGCTTTGTGTGCTACATGGAGGGAGGGAGAATGACAACTGGAACTGCTGCGCACACCTGTGCAAAGTTCTACGTTGACACCAGTCTGTCAGTCAGCCAGAGGATAAGATAGATAGAAGAAAAATTAAAAAAAGGTATATAAATGATTGTACCGTTAAGAATAATAAATTGTTTCATTTTGTACACCTGCAACATACTCTCAGGAAAATAAGTGCTCTTCAAAACAACTTAAATCTTCAGATTCCACAACAGATAGAGGTAAATTTATTCATTTGTATGTAACAAATTGAAGTCAAACACTTTTATCAACTGGTGTACACATCTCATGTTTGAAAGTTTACTATGCTGAGTGGTTGTCCTATGTCAAAGGAAGTGATGCGATAGCTTGAAGTGTAAACAATTGAACTAATTGGTGAGGCTTGCACAAATAACTTGAAGTATGTAAACAGTAAGAATAATTAACGAGAAGCCTTTTTCGCGTTTTTGGTTTTTTTCTTTCTAACAAAATTAACATATGTTTACTCTGTTCCTCTATTTGCGTAGACTACCTCAAATGATAGTTTACGATGGGGGTCATGATATATATTCTTTGGAGCGCCTGCCTGGAATAACCACAGACCCAGTGAAGAAAGAAGTTAGCATCAGTGATCCATTGGGTCGTGGTGATCTCCTCCTGGAGTACCAAATAATGGAAGTTAAGAAAGTATCAACTGACGATGTCTATGAGTATGTACGTAACCCTAAAGCTACGTCGCTGAACATTCCACAAGTAAGGCAGAATTACGTTTACAACCGTCTTTAGGAATGTATAAGACTATTGGACTGTATTGTGAAAACTGTGTCCAAACAATCCTTTGTATCCCTTGGACGTGCAGCCTTATTTCAAGAAGAGCCAATTAAGGTGGTGGCAAACAAACTTTTCTCTATCCACAAAGGTTTTATAAGCAGCGTCAGGCCACAGTGGAAGGTTCGTGTCAACTTGGACATGGTAAGTGATGACATTACCTCTTTCTATGCTGTCACAGACTTGTAAAGCTTACTTTGTATCAGGAAATCTTGCGGATGTTATGTACGAGAAATACGGAGATGATATGGTCAAATATAGTAAGCAAATAGCGTTAGACTTGCGGAGGATACGAGTAGAAACTGACAAATTCTACAAAAGCGATAAAGGTATGCCTCTGTTTCTGTTATACCTTATACGATTTAGGGAGTGTGTACTCTCGACGCTTCACAGTGCATGGGATATCATCATTACCAGCGGATAAATTGATGATTCAAGAGTTAAAGCAATCAGTGGCGGATTATTTCAAGGAACATCATCATATCATCTTGAAGTATCCATACCTTCCTTGTGTAAAGGTAATTTGTCAATTCAATGTACATTTCCTTAGGTCGATCAAAAGCGTGACGTGTATATCCCTATGGAGTTGCTGAACATTTTACCATATCAGCCTCCTAATGCTAGTAAAGCCGACGTAGCTAGTGAAGTGATCCGCTGTGCGGCAGTTCGACCAGCGGAACGTTTTCAGGAGCTTCAAACCTTCGTTAATAATATGTTCAAGTAAGAGAATTTTCTTTGATATCATTTATTATGCATGCCCTAATATACCATCGTTCTATCAGTTACCGTTAAAGGGGATCCGTAGCACTCTACACCCATCTTACTACCTTTTACCTGAGGGGGAGACATTGAGTGTGTCAAAGTGAACTACACAGTGATGCAAGGTCGCAGGTTAATAATAATGGCTGTCTAATCTATGGTGGGTAGTTTGCACGTGCTCTAGTATATGATTAGTCGACACAGGTTTCCAGAAAACTGCATCAGTAACTTCTGCTACTTGTGACTGAAAGTGAAGTAAGAGTAAGTGAATGAAGTAAAGTAACTAGTATATGTCGTCACCATGATGATGATGATGATGATGATGATGATGATCAAATGGTGGGCAGTTGTGTTGGACTCGAATGTATGGGTGGGTAGAGAGGCAGATGTGGATTTTCATTTCACCTCCACTTCAATCATCACCCAATGCATCAGCAGTAGTAGTGATCATCTACCAATGCAATTCTATCTATATATTGTGTCAGTGCCATTTGTTATTTTATGTGGTGCATGTGTTATTCTTCTTCTTATTGTTATCCCCTTTGGGATTGGAAGTGGGAGATGGGGCTTCAACAGCACACCACCATTTTGTCCTGTTGTCTTCAGTCCCCTTTAGTAGCTGGCTGCACAACTGCACATTAGCTCGGATCCCCCTACACGATCTCCTCGACGTCAGCTTCGGACAGCTGACTGTGACTTGTCGTTTCGGATTCGAGCTCCATTCGAGTGTCTGATGCACAGTGTCACTCGACAGGCTCCTCATTGTGTGTCCGTTGGATCCTCATTTCCTTCGATGTATTTGTTGGGCGACAGGTTGCTAGTTGGTTGGTTCCCAGAACTCCTTGATGTGAATTTTTCCTGACTGGCCATCTGATCCTCCTTAGGGAGCGAAGTCGACTGTTGATGGATGTGTGCAGTAGCCTGTTGTAAATGCTTTCTGCGACTTGCTCGCCGGACTTCTGACCCATATTGACTTGACTTAACGTTGGTGTTGAGAATCGGAGTCTTGTTCTTTATGCAGAATGCAGGAGACTTCTACACTGATTTCGGATTGATGAATGTCTGTCTTACCTCGTGGATTGTGTTGTGACATTGTTATGCGTGGCGTGGGTCTGTGGTTGAAACGATGCAACCTAGATAAGCGAAGTGAGTGACCTTTCTGAAGTTTATTCCGTTATTACTTGATTGGTGTTTGTTATTGTTGGTTGGTTATCCTCGTTGTTTCTGTGTTCACTTGAAGTGCTGTCTTTGGTGGTTCTTCTGACGATCTGTTGGTTTCCGCCTGTAAGTCTTCCGATTGATGTGGCATGAGACATGAGTCATCCTCCAAGTTCAAATTTCTTGTATCTGTGTGCCGTATCTCCTCATTTCTTTTGCAACCTAGTCCGTCTTCTCAACTTGTTTTATTGTCGGAGCATTCCACCTCCCTATCGTTCTATCTGCTTTCATCGAAAGAAGACACTTGGTTTGACTGTCTGCCTGAAGGCCTACACCAGCTGGCGTCATTCGATTCCAACATAAAATAAGCTTTCTTTATTTATTAAGAAGACGGTTGCAGGGAAGAAAATTTTCTTTTCGACGAAGTCATCAGCTAGGCTGTACATTCGTGTATTTATAACAAATGGATGGGAAAGTTCGAGAATAATTTCCCTGATTGTATAAACAATTATTCGTCACATTAGTAGTTATGATCCCACTTGATTTTTTATCCAAACATCCTGTCTATTTTTGTTATTACTACATTTCTAACTCCGAATTGCATAAAATGTCAATCTTCTCAGTAATTATGGTGCTACTTTTTTGATTTTTATCTGTCCCTCTGTTTATAATGGGATTTTAATTCCTAATTATAATTTTATTAATTTGACCCTTAACCGGAAATAATTCTGGAACTTTCCCATCCATTTGTTAAAAATACACGAATGTACAGCCTAGTTGATGACTTCGTCGAAAAGAAAATTTTCTTCGCTGCAACTGCTTTCTTTATTTCCGTTGTTCTTTAAACTTTCTGTGGTAGCATCGCTACCTACAGCACAGACCAAACTAATTTTTCCAGCAGTAGAAATTCCAGTATTAATCTTCACTCGGAAATATGATGAATACTAAAGACGAGAACAGAAGCATAATATTAGACGAATGCTTTGCAGGGATTGTGATAATGCATATATGCTGTCCGTTGTGTTACCTCGAATTTTAAGCTTGAACAAACTTGAGGAAAATGAAGTATCCTTTCTAAACTGTTACTGGAGGTCATGGGGGAATGGCTGTTAACTATTGTTTGTTTTCCAGGCAGATACAACGAACATTTTATTTTGTCTAAATTTTGTGAGGATGCAGAGAGTATTCCCATTGTTATATGTGGCAATCTCCAGCTAGTGTGACTATACAACACGAGTTATGAAATTACGTAAACCTGGAATGCACTGAAAACGAAAAAACATCAAACTAGGGTAATGTTTGTTGACTGTCTGATGGTGAAGCAAACTTCATTGTAGTGTAAGTATGTGTGAATGAAAATCATCTGTGTGTGACAGTGTGTAGGTCTAGTGGTGATATTTTAAGATTGCTTCATAATTTGTTTTTCGTAATTTAGAAGGATTTCCCTTGACATAATATTTCTTTCACTTCTTCTCCCTAGATCACACCCACTGATTAAACAATTCGGTTTGGCAATCCAACCGAAGCCAGTGGAAATTAAGGCACGTGTTCTCCAACCGCCAACTGCTGACTTTGGTTGTTCAGGTGTGCAGGCTCTAAAGGCGGGTAGTTTCAACTCACCCGGTTTTCATGACCCTGCCGGAAAAGAAGGGGAATTGATGTGGGCTATACTTAGTGTTCCACCTAATCAGGTATGTTTTCCACTACGGTTCTATGCTAGGATGTGATGTTTTATTAAAGATGTGTGCCATCATCACTTAAGCCATTAAATTAACATTCTAGACGAGGTCATTTGTTAGTTGAAGTTAGCTTACCAGTTGTGTCAACACCGAAGAATACTTTTCGTAGTTTCATGACAGCCTACTCATCATTTCATCGTTTTCACCGCATTATGTCCACGGGAATATCATCATTCCCTCTGATTTGTCAGTTTTTAATGCTCTGCATACAAACCTGAAATTGTGTTTGTCTCTTTATAGAAGAGACGAAATCCTGTTAGATAAGTAGATCAGTCTGAGAACTCTGTACTTGATTCTGATTTACTGTAAGAAAAAGAGCGTATATTAGTGTTATTACCAAATTGGAATTCTAGAACTAACTAATCATTCTCTCTGTCCCTTTTTGTTTTCAGTGGGCTGAGGGTAATGCAATAAAGGTGAAGAAGGAATTGCCTGAAGCTGCCAAACGCTTCGGTGTTCGTTTAAGCCCCAGTCCAATAGTGTCAAAGTGCCCTAAAAGAGAACTTAACAGAAAGTTTGATGAGTTCTCGAGACAAAACTGCGCGTTTCTGCTGCTTATCCTTTATGATGAGGAGTCCTATTCAGAAATAAAACGTCTCAGTGACCTACAAATGGGCATTCGCACCCAATGTGTACGAAGTCGTACTTTGGGCAAACCAAACGTATTCCGTAAGTATTTACGATCATTTACTTATAGCGTTTAGTGTATCTCCCTATTTGGGCGTGTTTAATGTAGTTTTCTGCTTTCAGCGAACCTGGTACTCAAGCTCAATGGCAAACTCGGTGGTGTTAATTGGCGAATACCAGGCCTGATTAAAAACAGTGAGGAACTGATAATGGTTTTCGGTGCTGACGTCACTCATCCGGCGCCCACCCAAATTCAGCAAATTCGCAAGTCAATAGCTGCTGTTATCGGCAGTGTGTCACCGGATCTAATGAGATATGCGGTAGTTGTCCGCCAACAGGCAACGACAGAGAAAGGCAATAAGGCGACGAGAGAAATAATAGATGATATGCGTCTCACCGTTAAAGAATTACTTCAGGTTAGTTTTCATTGACGACTGACTTGGCTTATTTACATTTCACTTATTCCCTTTGTACACTTTTGTTCTTCCTTATTTGTATTCTATTGCAGCTTTACTTGCGAAATACAAATGGGCGTTTCCCAACACGAATGATATTCTATCGTGATGGTGTTTCAGAAGGTCAATTCGAAAATGTGTTAGTGGAGGAGTTAGCGGCGATTCAGAGAGCCTGCGCAGATATTCGTCCTGGTGTAGAGCCTGCTATCACTTATATTGTTGTGCAAAAACGTCACCATATTCGACTGAAACCGTCTGACCCAAGGTAAGGTATTTACTCATGATGTTTCCTGTGTACCCACTACTACACCTTAGTCGTATCTTTACCAGTCTGTTTAAATGCTTTGCTAGGGCGAGGAACGTTGAGCCAGGAACGGTGGTTGATACAGATATCACGCATCCCAGGGAATTCGACTTCTACCTCTGCTCTCAAGAAGGGATACAGGTAAATTATTTCCTTGTTCCTTCATGCTAATTAATTTTAGGGGACATCTAAACCTGCTCATTATCACGTTTTGTACGATGACAGTAATTGGACATCGGATGCTTTGGAAATGTTCACTTACTACTTATGCTACGGGTATATGAGATGTTGTCGTAGTGTGTCGTATCCAGCGCCAACTTATTATTCGCATCTGGCTGCATTTCGGGCGCGTGACTGGTTATCGTCGGATCTAGAGAATCCAGAGATTTTGTTAGATGGTGGTCGTTTCAAAGTCCACAGAAGTCAAGTCGATGGCATGTTTTACTTGTAAACAATAATGTCACCGCTTGTTGAACGAATTGCCTTCATCTTTGTGTCGATAGTTCTTTTTTCACATATATTTTGCAACCTAAACTACAGCTTTTTATTATGACTCCTGTTAGTTGTTTTTAGCATAGGGCTCCGGACGGACCTACAGCCGTTGCATTGGACACTGGATATGGTTGTGACCTTATTTTTGCTAAACAAATCACGTGATTCCGTTGGTCATGCAAACCAATTCTAACGATGCGAGTTCATGAAGTGACATATATTCTTTCTCCTAACCACATGTCGAAGATTTCAATGTTTATGTGTTAAGTCAGTCGGTTGATGGGCGTGATCGACTGAAATGTTGGGGTTTTCAGTCATAGTTATGTATTGTAAGATACACATGCGAGATCCTGATGTTGTTATTCACTTGACTAAAGTGGTGAGACTATACGTTCCACACTTTCGGTTGCTCTGGACTCGCATAGCTTTTCATGTATATGTGTAAGTATGCCATTCGGTTAGAAGGAAAGAAACACCACTAAATACTACTAATTTACAGTCGAGTTTGTGCTGTTCATTTTAATCGTGTTGTTAGAACTAAGGAGAATGATGGCACATACTGATATGTTTTTGAAGATCACCTACACTTTTGCTGACTGTGGATATATTGAGGTTTGGTATGCGTGAGAAAGCCAGAGATGTAGATGTGGTTTTCATTGGGCGAGGTGGGGTTGGGACAGTTACTGTATGAGTAGGAAGGATCAATCAAGCAAAAGCCGTGTTGGTGACTACCCAACTAATAATAATAATAATAGTAATAATAGCTTTATTCCAAACAGTATTTGTGGTACAGGTATGGAATTTTCAGCGTGCACTACAATATTGCATCTAATTAGCTCATAAATTTTATAAGATTTTAAAAATAAAAAGCAACAACAACAAAAAGAAAAATAAAAGAAATAAAAAAGAACAGCATTGCATTCACATATTTAAACAATGCACCACAGGATATGAAATATAAAATTAGTGTGTAATAGAATATGTGAGCAACAATAAAATAGTAACAAAGAAAGGAGAACAAAAGCTAGTGGGAACTATTTGTTAGAGTGCCGCAGTAAGTTGATCGTGTCATACCTAACGGATTTCTCATCACATAACAGCTGTGCCAGATAAGGTATTGTGGAGTTTTTGTACTAAAGTGTGGTTCTAAATATATCATAGTTCCATCTTGCTACACTTCACCCGACGTGGAGACATTGAATATGTCAAAGTGAACTACACAGTGATGCAAGGTCGCAGGTTAATAATAATGGCTGTCTAATCTATGGTGGGTAGTTTGCACGTGCTCTAGTATATGATTAGTCGACACAGGTTTCCAGAAAACTGCATCAGTAACTTCTGCTACTTGTGACTGAAAGTGAAGTAAGAGTAAGTGAATGAAGTAAAGTAACTAGTATATGTCGTCACCATGATGATGATGATGATGATCAAATGGTGGGCAGTTGTGTTGGACTCGAATGTATGGGTGGGTAGAGAGGCAGATGTGGATTTTCATTTCACCTCCACTTCAATCATCACCCAATGCATCAGCAGTAGTAGTGATCATCTACCAATGCAATTCTATCTATATATTGTGTCAGTGCCATTTGTTATTTTATGTGGTGCATGTGTTATTCTTCTTCTTATTGTTATCCCCTTTGGGATTGGAAGTGGGAGATGGGGCTTCAACAGCACACCACCATTTTGTCCTGTTGTCTTCAGTCCCCTTTAGTAGCTGGCTGCACAACTGCACATTAGCTCGGATCCCCCTACACGATCTCCTCGACGTCAGCTTCGGACAGCTGACTGTGACTTGTCGTTTCGGATTCGAGCTCCATTCGAGTGTCTGATGCACAGTGTCACTCGACAGGCTCCTCATTGTGTGTCCGATGGATCCTCACTTTCTTCGATGTATTTGTTGGGCGACAGGTTGCTAGTTGGTTGGTTCCCAGAACTCCTTGATGTGAATTTTTCCTGACTGGCCATCTGATCCTCCTTAGGGAGCGAAGTCGACTGTTGATGGATGTGTGCAGTAGCCTGTTGTAAATGCTTTCTGCGACTTGCTCGCCGGACTTCTGACCCATATTGACTTGACTTAACGTTGGTGTTGAGAATCGGAGTCTTGTTCTTTATGCAGAATGCAGGAGACTTCTACACTGATTTCGGATTGATGAATGTCTGTCTTACCTCGTGGATTGTGTTGTGACATTGTTATGCGTGGCGTGGGTCTGTGGTTGAAACGATGCAACCTAGATAAGCGAAGTGAGTGACCTTTCTGAAGTTTATTCCGTTACTACTTGATTGGTGTTTGTTATTGTTGGTTGGTTATCCTCGTTGTTTCTGTGTTCACTTGAAGTGCTGTCTTTGGTGGTTCTTCTGACGATCTGTTGGTTTCCGCCTGTAAGTCTTCCGATTGATGTGGCATGAGACATGAGTCATCCGCGAAGTTTAAATCTTTTGTGGTCTTCTTATTGGTGCCTTGTATTTTTGTGTTCTCACTCCTGACTGTCCGTTTTCCGCTTGGTTGAGTCCCCCATTTTCAGTGATATCATTGGTGACGGTATGTAGTCCTGTTTTACTCTAGTCTTCAGTGCAAGGAGGCCACTGAAATTTCCATTGTGGATCATTTGGCATGTGTGGTGTGGTCATATAGAGCTGTTGAGTGAGATTGACAGCGGTTTGGAGCACTCCGTAGTGTTGGATCAGCTCTCAAATTGCTTCGTGGTCAACATCGTGGAAGGCGTTTTCAAAGTCGGTGAAGTGTAGCTTGTGGTCTGTTGAGTTGTGATGTGTGGCATTGAGATTTGACCCGACAGAAATTGATTTTCCTGTATGCAGCTTGCTCTTGTCGGAGTTATAGATGTGGTGTGACAATAAACTATCTACAAACTTCAATCACAAATGTGAAAAAATGACAAATTCAGTATATCTGATCGCCACTCATAGTTTCAATCAACAAAATGATGATAGTAAATACGGAAAATAGCCAGCCAGTATAGCGTAGGAAATGGTTGTTATAATATCGCTGAGTAGTTATGAAGTCATTAGCAGTATATACGAAAACAGTAAGGAAGATTTGTACTCTTCTTCCATTAGATAGCCGAATATGTAGGAATTGTATGATCTGTATAGTGTCCTGCTTTCACGGGTGTATTTTATGCATCCTATGAAATTGTGGATGATAGGACAATTTCTGAATAACTGAAGATCCAAAATTATTTGGTGATGTCGTTATACCGTATACTCTCGAGTTTTATTGAGTGTCTGTGGATGTGTGTCTCGTGGACGTAAGCACTTGGATTCCAACCAGTGGATCCTAGTTTAGAATCGCGGTGAGCTCAACATCGTGTCATCCACCGCCACAAGTGAGGTTCATATCATGGTTTACGGAAAATCTGTTTCAGGAGACTGAGTTCTATCACTGTTAAATCACACGGATTACGAGAGTTGACTTAGTTGTCTAGTGGGGAACGCTTCTATTTTCGAAACGATGATTGCCACTGTTGAATCTGAATGCGAATACTGTCACTCAGCTTATAAGTCTCTAATAGTTTGAGATTTATATTCTGGGTGTTCAATAACCACTGCATGACAACATTCAAATCGAGGGTGCGGTTAAGTAGTTCATTCTAGGAAGCTGTTTACTGGCACTAACGAGGCATATATGTCCAGTGTGACAAATAACGAACTGGTTACCCTCGCTGTTAACATTCATGATTGTGTTACTTTGTCATGAAAATCATATTACACAGGTTTGGAGGTGTGTTGTCACTGAGACTTCAGGATTGATCAGTTTCGAAGAAGTTGAAGTATCAATGAAATTCAGACTTGATGGTGATATACTCTCCAGTCGTGATGTTTTCACAGACGACTAGATGAAGACTAATAACCAACACTATCAACTCTGTTGTCCGTTGATTCTGTTAGAATAAAATGACGAATGATTACACTTTATTCATTCATTACTCAGACGTCGTTAATTAATAAATGTCGTATAGATGAGGAAATATATGTACGAGCGAGTGATCTACATGGGAAATTGTCACGATGGATGATACACCTGCAAGAGTACGTAGGATTTCACGGTTTCACACGTTCTGTAGGAAAGAAATTTACTGTCAGAATGTTAATCTAAACCGACAGATAAAAGTGAGTGATCCGAGATCGCATCCAAAGTGCATGCAATGGAACAATAACCATTGGTTTTTCAGTCAGTGCTTCACATTCTTTTGACGAAGAGTAAGTAGACTTCACGCATTTTCGGAAGCTGTAACTGATGAAGCACAGTGAAGTCGTGGAACTTTTCCCGTCAAATCAAAATAGAGTTGCTTGTCAACACAATTCTCTCTTGTTCTCTGAGAAGATAAGAGAAACTGAAGTGAAAATCTCTACACTCTTCTGAACTGTTCATTCATACATATTTCCTGGTCTTTGCACAAAATAATGTGTTTTTTGCACTAGAATGAATTCGAATGCATGAAAGAAATGCCAATTGTTAGAATGATTTTTCACATCGTTTTTGCATTTTGTTTATTGAAACCAAAAACGGTGGGAATAATAATGCATCTACTGACTGACTATTCGTTATGTTGTACTTCTCTGGCTGACTGACTGACTGGGCAACAGAATCAATAATCTCACAGTATTCGGATGACTAGATGACTGCAAAGATAATTTTTATGAGTCAGAATCTCGATCAGTTTAATGATGTGTCAATTTTGCAACATTAACTGGAACTGCTCCAAACTGAAAGACATGACATGATTGGACACTCCATGGAAACTTGATATGACTAGATGATATATTGTACTTAGTCGCACTTGTATTTGGGATTGCTTGCAATGAATTGAATCACGCTGTCGCGAAAATATGATGCAGTGATAGTGGGTTATGTGTTCGTCTAACTTCAGTAGACTGCGCCTCCGGAACACAACACTACAACCCACTGATTACCTAAAGTGATCCGCCACACTGAAATGA